AAAAAATACTTTCACTAAAAGTAAGACATTAAAAATATATATATTTTTTTTTTGAGGACGATGAATATGAAGTATCTTATTTTATGAAATATTAAAAATAAAATTTTAAATGTGATATACATGAAATACTATGTAAATTAACAAAAATAGTGATTTAATAATGTAATTAATATTTGGCATTAACAAAATTAAACAAATTGATTAATATTTTAATTTAATAAACATAAAATAAGTAGAGTTCTTTCTACATGCTCTTCATTAATTCGTTTGTTAAATACTCGCAAGGTCATTGAATGTGCAACTAACAAATCAGTGATATATATTCAACTATTCATTTTAGTCTCATATATCTCTTTAGCCTTACTAACTAATAATTTCACTTTATTAAGTTATATTTGAATTGTTTTACCTCTATAGTATTGGTTTATTAATTAATATTTCAATGAATTTTATAGTTCTTTTGATAGATTTATTAATTGTATGTTCATTGATTTTTCTAGTGTTGAACAAACAAATTAATAAAAAGCATGTAGATAAAACTATACTCATTTTATCTAAATTAAAATAAAATAATAGGAAAATTATTTACTTTAACTATAATAAAATTTTAATTACATTAGTAAATTACAATTTAAATTAATATACTTAATACACTATGAGTGTAATTTTTAATACTTTATTTTTAATATTTGTAAAAAAAAAAAAAAATAAACTACTATTATATGTTCCCTAAAAAAAAAAAATTTTTTTTTTAACGTTTTTTTTTTAAGAAAATAAAGGAATAAAAAAAAATAAATATAACACCAAATTTTAAAAAAAATTTTTTTTTTTTTATAATTGTATGTTAATATAAACCAAAAAAAAAAAAAAAATATAACATAATATGTTTGTATTTTTTTTTTTAGAGTATATTTAGTGTATACCTTTGAATTAGCGCATTTTTTATACATTTTAGCATGTACAAGATGAAATATTTTTATTTATCTTATTCACTTAAATACCATATAAAATATATCGATAAAGCTATTTATAGACTAATAGTCAAATTAATAAAGAGCATATAGAGAGATCTTATGTTGTTTATCATAAAATTAATTTCTGTAAGTAATTTTATACTTTACATATAACTCCCTGTTAACAATAAATTAAACATATTTATTTCATATCTTATAATTTCCATCACTTTAACCAGTAGATTTATAAAACTAGATAAAAATTATTTTACTATTTTCTCAATAAAAAAAGGGAAAAAAAAAAAAAAGGAAATTTAATTTTTTTTTAGTATAAACATGTTATTTGCATCACACATATTTTATAAATATACCTATACTACATTTTATAAAATATACTTTTTATTTCTAAGTTACTCTATGATATTTCTGTCCCTAATGAAATATTCTGTATATGTCATCGTGGATATATATACATACAAGTGTGTAAATTATTTCGCATGCATAGAAAACTCCTTAAAATAGGTAATTATCATTATATACATTCTCAAAAATGTCGATAAAAACATTTATTTACCATATATATAGGTACTGTTTTCATTTTTTTCTTTTTAACTTTAGTTACCCTATATGGAAAAGACCAATAAGGCTTGAAATAATTATTAGAATCATAATTCTTTAATTGATTTTGTTCATACATTGATAATTCATTTAAAATAATAATATCAGCATTAACATTTTCGATATCTATCAATTATATTTCCTTTAATATATTTAAATCTTTATATGTCCTTTTCTATCCCTCATTTAAATAGATTGTTTTCATTTATGGTATAATTTAAAGAGAAAATTTTGAATAATCAGAGCATATAAAATCCATTTCAGACATCAAAAAATAAGATGTTCTTCTAAAGCTTCATAATTATTATTCTATATGTTAATACAGACTTTTTCACACTTCCCTAAAAGACATACCCTTTTCTTCACATATGATCTTAAGCATATAGTAAAAACTCTTATGAGAGTTTTCATTAATATTGTTCCTTGAGGATAATAAGAATTAGTACCGAGAAGTTTTATCTGAAATTATTATATAATATATTCTTGAAATTCTTTAATCACATAAATAGAACCGTAATCTGTAAGAGCACATTTTGGACACTAATTTATTAATAGTATATTCAAAGACTTTGCTAGAGTATTGAACAAACAGATTAATAAGGAGCACGTAGAGTTCTCACTACTAGTTTGATGAATTTAAGCATAATTTTAATGTTATAAACCCTTAAACTGTGTTTATATAGTATTGTTTTATTAAATGGTTGTTCGGTGACTTTGCTAGAGTACTGAACAAACAAATTAATAAATGGCATATTGGTTAATAAAAGGCTTCATTATCCTTTTTGGTAATAAAAGGATTAGCTATATGAAGAATACGTAGTTGGTTGTGGACACGCGGAAAAAAAAAAAAAAAAAAAAAAATTAATGAATATTTTTTGATATTTTTCTTTTAATAAATGGAGATACAAAAAAAAAAAATATATTTACTTTTTTTTAAATGATTTAATTAGTGAGAGAAAATTGATAAAATAAAAATCGAGAGTAAGATTTAGTACCAATAAAAATGAGATCTTAAACAGATAATAATGTTTACATAAAAGAGTTTAATTTGCATAATATTTATATTTTTAATTTGTGAGAGAAAATTTTATACATATGACAATAAAATTTTCATGTAATTAATATTCATATAATTAATTTGCATTTTTACTAATTGTTTATGTTTGTTAATTCAACAGTAATATGTTTAACATGCTGAACATAAATCATAACAAAGAAACAAATAATTTACATTTAATTAATAATAAATATTCAATGAGGATTTAAATTATTAATAAAAATAAGGATTTTTATTAATGCAAATAAATGTCTATTGAAATCAAAGAACGCTGAATGAAGTAGATTAAATAATTAAGGATCACTTGTTCAAAAAATTTAAAAATTTATATAAATACATTATAACCGTAGAGGTAACTCTACATGTTCTTTATTAATTTATTTGTTAAGTACTCTAGTAAAGTCACCGAACACCCAGTTAATAAATCACTTTATTAATATGTTTGCTCAATACTATAGCAAAGTTATTGAATAAGAAATAAATAAATTAATATTTCAACTGAAAAATTAATCATTTCAAAAAAAAAGTAAATATATATTTTTTTTTTTGTATTTAAAAATTAGAAAAAGAAAACAATGAAATTAACAATTACTTTTTTTTTTTTTTTTTTTTTTTTGCATTTAGAATTTGCATGTATAACTATATATTTTCCACACAACTATTACCGCTTATTCTCAAAAAGGTTAATAATACATTTTATTAACCAACTTGAAATTGCTAAGTAAAAAAAAAAGAGAAAAAAATTAGTTAATGTTTTTTTTTATTTTTGTAATTTAAATACATAAAAAAATAAATTTTTTCTTTTTTTAAAAGGAATTTAGTTGTCGAAAAATAGAAGAAAAAGTTATTGAATAAGAAAGCTTATTGTGGTGTATTTTTGTTTAAATTAATATAAGAAAATTTTATATTAAATATAATATAATTTTTGTGTTTTGTAGTACTTATGTAATTTAATTTGAATTTTATCAATTATTTATGCTTGTTAATTTGAGAGCAATAAATTTGAATTGTTAAATATAAATTATAATATAAGTAAAATAAATGTTCTTAATGTTTTATTAATTTCCTCTTCATTACTTTCCCTGAGTATTGAAAAAAGGGATTAACAACGAGCATATAGAGTTTCTTCTACCATTTAAATGAATTTAAATATGTTTTTAATACTATAAACCACTGAAATCTATATGGTCTCCTTCACTGAGCATTTATTGTTTTTAAGAGGCATTTAATTATTTTAATAAAAATCCCTTTTTTTATTAAAAATTTAAATCTTTATTAATTATAGTTTTAAATTACATATATTTTACTTATAATGTTATGATTAATATTTAACAATTCAAAATCACTTCTCATGAATTAACAAATATAAATAACAAAACACAAAATAAGTTATAAAATAATACAAACACGAAAATTTTATTATTGTTAATATAAAATTTTCTGCTTAAAATTCAATGATAAAAATTTTCTACGAAAAAACTTCTTATCAAGTTTTCTTCAATTTTTTAATAACTTGAATGTTTTTTTCACATATTCAATACTTTTTTTCTTCATTTATCTAGTACATTCATGTATGTTTATTTTCCATACAGCTATTAATTTTTTTCTCAAAAACGCTAATAATTCCTTTTATTAACAAATCTTTAACTCCAACAATTCTCAATAAGACTTTTTTTTTTTTTTTCCTTGTTGTGTCCTTTTTTTGTTATGTAGGTAAGCTGGTAATAATTCTGCATCCAACTTTTTTTCTTCTATTTTATCCTCTACTTTTACTACCTAATTTATTTACTTTCCATAAATTACATTTTTAATTTATTAAATTATCATTAAATGAATTTTCTAGAGTAATGAAAAACAAATTATTAAAGAGAATATGGAGTTTTCTCTAATAATTAAATGGATATTAAATATAATTTTAATGATATAAACAAATAAACTGCAATAATGCGGTTCATTGTGAATTTACTTTGATAAAAATTATGTATTTTTATTAAAAACATATATTCTCATTAACTATTAATTTTTAAGTACAAAATAATTATTGCTATTTATAAGTAATTTTCAGTAATTTGAGTTCACTGCTTTTAAAAATAATAAAAATACTTAAATAGAAAAAAAAAAATTGAATTATGTTAATATCACTTAACGAAAATTTTATTCTTAAAAATTAAAAAATATTCACATGAAATTTTCTTTTTCAAAAAAATTTTTCTCTTTTAATTTTTTTTTTTTTTTTAAAAAATAAAATATATTTCTATAAAAAAAATTTAAACAAGATATTAATTTTTCCTTTTCTAAACTATATCTTATGCATGACTAATCCTATATTCTCTACTAAACCATCAATTTTTATTCTCGTCAGGATTATAAAATCAATTAATAAAGAATTTCCAAAATTTTTTTTTATTATTTTTTGTTTCATTTTTTCCTTGATCTTCCTTACATTTGCATAAAAATTTCTCAAAATCTGAGCGAAGTTCTTCCATAATCCTATCAATTATTTTTTCTTTTTCTTCATCTGGAATATCACATCGACGAGGTATTGAATATAGATCTCTAACTTTCGTAATTGAAATTTTATTAAATTCAACATTCCATTTTCTTTCTTTCAATTTAGGGTCCATTCCACTTGTTTCTTTATCAAATCGCTCCCACAATTTTGGAATAATGACATTATTCCATTGATCGTACGGATCCTTGTATTGAACCGGATTTCCACATTTGCTTTTTTTATTATCTAATGGATTTTCTTCTATGCATTCCTTAGCGTATGTTTGCTTTTTTCCTGATATGTCACCCTCTGTTAACACTCTTTCATATTTTAACTCATTTTTTGTTTGCAATATATTTTTATCAATCAGAGATATATAGGAATGACGCTATGAATTAAATAAAATTTTTTTAAAAGAATGTTTCTTTTGTTAGAATAGTAAATCAAATAGAATATTAAAAATATTTAGATGTAAAACATATCTATATGTATATTTTTTGTAAAAATTTTAACTTACGTTAAAAAAACATTGATACATCCAAATTAAAAGAAGGAATGTAGTAATTTTTAAATATAAAGTTAACGTTTTCATATTAATATATTTATAAAATAATATTGAAGTAGAAGTTGTTAATTCAGGTGTAAAACTGTTTCAATTTTCAATAATACTAAATTATGGATTTGTAATATTAATTTAGATATTATTGTAACTTGTATTAATTTCTTAAATTTTTAAAATAGAAAATTATTTTAATATATGAAATGTAATTTCTAATTTTTTATTATTACACATGATATTAGGTTACTTTAGATAGGAATAATATTCTTAATTCTTTAAAATATAAAATAAGAATGTGAATTTATGAATAAATAAAAAATATAATAAATCGGATAATGTTATTTTGAAAATATTTTATTATAATTTTATTTATCTTTAAATTATGTAAAAAAATAAAGTGTTTTTAATTTAATGCACATAAAAATTATAAATCATATACATTTAATGTTAAAGAATTTTTTTAATTTTTTTTTTCTAAATTACCAATCTCTGTAAATTATGTCGAACTTTAAATTATTTTTTATACTCTATATTATGATTTATAAATATAAATCTTCGTATATTATAGAGATATATCTCCATCAAAAAAAGAAAAAAAAATTCTATAAATTATAAATTTTTATACGCATGTATTTTTCATATAGTATACTACATTTGTGACAATTTTTCACTTAATATAAAACTAATTTTTGTTTGTGTATATTTTTCTTTTAAATATAACTTTTTCGATTTTTCTTATACACTTTTTTTTATCTTAATTCTTTTTTTTTTATTTTTATTATTCATAAATGTTTATACAATTTATGTACATATTTATTTTTTGTTATAACTATTTTTTAAAAAAAATTACTTTTTCAACTATTTGGAGAAAAATAAAAAAAATTTATTAAGTACTTAAATTCAAAAGAAAAAGTGAAGATAGGTATTTATTTTTAAGAAATTATAATAGCAATTCTTATAAATAGCACATTTAAAAGTCAAATAAATTAATTGCAATAAAAAAAAAAAAAAAAAAAAATTACTATTTTTTTAATCATATATTTACAGTAAAAAATATTTTTTAAAGAAAGTTCTATTTTTTGACAATTTTACTTCATTTATTCTAAAAATATATTTTTATAAATTTACTTTTTTACGAGTAATACTTATCAGTTACAAATTTAATATAAATATTATTTACTGAATGTAAAAATATATCTTTAGTTAAATATAATAGATTTTTTCTTATAAAATTCAAAAGAATGTATTTTTATCGTGATTTAAAATATATCAATAAATAAAGATAAAAAAGAATTATAAAATAACTTTTTACATATATATTATTATAATCTTCTAATTAAATATAAAAAAAAATTATTTATTTTTTTTTTTTTTTTTTTTGCTTTTATATGTTTATCTGATGAGTGTTGATTATTTTTACGATGTGTTTATTTTCTTTTTTATTTTTAGTTTTAAATGTTTATAGAACAATTTTTTATTTTTCATTTTAATTACGAAATTTAGATAACTCATTTATATCGTATAAATGAATTCAACAATTGTCCGTTTCTAATATAACTTTTTTCTTAGAAGTTTAAATTTCATAAGACATTTTTGTAAATAATAATGGAGAATTTTAATATGAATTTATATTTTTTAAATTTAATTTGTTAGAATCTTCGATGTATTATTAATAAAAAGTGGTGTGCATAAATACTATTATTTTTAATATTTTAACACTAATTTTTCTCTAAGAAATAATCATGAATTTAGTAAAAGTACATTTTTTATGATTTATATTTATTTAATATTATATGTAGAAGTTCTTACAAGTAAAAATATGTAAAATATAAAAGTGTCTTACATTTAACATAGATATTACATGATATTATAATAATTTTGAATAGTGCGTGTATTGCAGATATACAAACGTAAATTATCAAATGATAGTTCATGAAGTATTAAAATTATTATACTTATTATAAATAAGATAATATTCCTAAGGAAAAGAAATTATTTATAGCTTTGATTTATTAATGGCTGTTAAATTACTTTTCTCCTGTCAATGAAATAAATTAATAAGGAAAATGTAGTGTAATCTCCTCTTAATTTTAATATAAATTTTTTTTTTCTTATTAATAAACATTAAATATAACTTATTAGTTAATTATTTTTTTTTTGATATAAGCAACACTCCAAAATATAATTTTTTTAATATTACATTCTAGCTTAAAATAAAAATATACATTCCGTAGTATTCTGCACATTATTCTCCCAAAATAGAAAAAAGAAAAACTAATTTTTTTTTTTAAGATTGCATTTTTTTTTTGTAATAATAAAAATATCATCATAATATATATTTTTTTTTAATTGTAAATACCCATACAAAAAATATTATTATTTATTTATTTTTTTTTAAGTGAACTCACTTTAAGTGCAATTAAATATATACATATATTTTTTGTTCACATACTTTTTCAATGACTATTTTGGAGCAGACATTTATGATAGCAGATTGTCCTTGCGAATTAGCATGCACAAAATAAAAAGTTTTTATTCTATTTATTTGTATAAATATTATACAAAAAAAGTCAATAGTATTTTATATGGAACAATGTATTAACCAATATAAACAATATAGATAAAGCTAAATGTGTTCACTATACGTTAAAAAAACTTAGTGACATTTCGCAAAAGTAGAGCACAATATAAAAAAAATTATTTTCAATAGTTATAACTTGTGAAACGTTTTATTAATATATTAAATGATCTATTGTATTAATTAAAACTTATTGCAAAGACCTTATAGGAATAGACTTTATTAACACTAGAAAATTATATGGATGGAAATTAATATTTTTAGAATTTAATTTAGAATTTTAACTGATTTAAATAATTCAAAAATGTCTAGATTATTGGATAGTCAAATCAATAAATAATGACACTAATCTTAACTACATAATTTTATTTTGCATTAAATCATTGGAGGATTATGAAAATTTTTGTGTTATTTCATCTTATCAAGATATGATTGATAAGTAAGAGAAAAATAATATTCCAATAGATGTAGTATAAATAAATAACTTATCTACTCACTATAAAATAGAACAATTAAATATATGTTTTATTAACTAGTTTTTCGGTGACTTTTTTAGAGTACCGAACAAGCAAATTAATAAAGAGCATGTACAGTTGCCTCTAAGGTTTTGATGTATTTATATACGTTTTTAAATGCTTTGAATGAGTGATTCTTAATTATATAATCTACTTTGTTCAAATTCTTTGATTTCAATAGGCATTTATTTACTTTAATAAAAATCCTTATTTTTATTAATAATTCAAATCCTTATTGAAAAATAATTATTAATTAATTGTAAATTATATGTTTATTTATTATGAGTAACGCTCAGCAATTAATACATGTATTGCTGTTGAATTAATAAACGTAAACAATTATATGCAAATATCAAATATTATACAAATATTAATTACATGAAAATTTTACTGTTATATGTATAAAATTTTCTTTTACAAAATTCATCACAAAAATTATTTCATTTCCTTCCTCCTAAAAAAAAATTCTTTCTTTCTTTTTTTTTCTTTTTTTTATTTTTAAGCAATATTTTAAAAATTGATTTTTTTAATCAATTTTTTTTCCTGAAGATCATTACATTTTTTTTTTTATATCTAAATTTTTTCTGACAGTGTTTTACTTTTTTTAAAAAAAAAGTACAAACAAAAAAAAATCATGAATTTTTTTTTTTTTTTTTGTGTGTGCTTGCATGACCAACTTCATATTCTTCATTTAACTAGTGCTTCTATTTTCCAAAAAGGTTAATAAAGACTTTTATTAAACATATATTGAGGAATACAATACGAATTGTTTAGTTTATCAGGTAATGTATAATAGAACGCTTAAGCCTAATAACCAGTAATTATTAATATCTAATATATTTTATATGGTCTCATTAGATATCATTGGATTCAAAAAGTGGAAAAAAGAAAATTACTATATTCAGATGGCTATAAATCACTATATACTGTTTATGTTAAATAGTGTTATTAGAAGGTAATGTACTAATAGTGATACAATTTCTATGATTACAAACATCTAAATTCCTTTATTTGGATTTAAAAGTAGTATTATTAAAAATCGTGGATCTATATAAATGAGTTAGGAACTTCAGAAATAGGTTACAGGATAATTACAAATAAAATCGCACCATACAAATACTCATTATCCTCAAAGGAATGGTATTAATGAAAGATTTCTTAATAGTATTAATTATATACTTAAGACCATATATGTAGAAAAAGATACATCTGTTGGTGAAATGATAAAAAATGCATTATTGATATATATTAATACAACTCACGAAGTTATTGGTTAATAAAAGGCTTTATTAACCTTTTTGGAAAGTAAAAGGACTAGTTAAATGATGAATACGAAGTTAGTCATGCACACAAAAAAAAAAAAAAAATATGATGAATTTTTTTTGTTTGTATTATTTTTAAATAAGGAAAATAGAAAGATCGTCAGGAAAAAATAAAATTGATAAAAAAAAAAAAAATGTCTATTGTTAAAAGATTTGTTACCAATAAATAAAAAAAAAAAAAAAAAAAAAAAGAGTGATTTTTTTTTTTGGAGAATGAAATATGATTTTAATGAAATTTGTAAGAGAAAATTTTATATATATAACAATAAAATTTTCATGTAATTAATATATATATAATTGTTTTTGTATTGTCTATAATTGTTCATGTTTGTTAATTCAACAGTAATATGTTTAACTTGCTGAACATAACTCATAACAAAGAAATAAATAATTTAAATTTAATTAATAATAAATATTTAATAAGGATATACATTTTTAATAAAAATAAAGATTTTTAATAAAGTAAATAAATGCCTATTGAAATCAAAGAATGCTGAATGAAGTAGATCACCTAATAAAGAATCATTCGTTCAAAGCATATAAAAGTATATATAAATACACAAAAATCGTAGAGGCTACTCTGCATGCTCTTTATTGATTTGTTTGTTCAATACTCTA